AAAAAAATTGGGGTTTTTCCTAAACTGAAAATACACCATCAGTCTGCAACTCCATTATGAACTTACATAAAAGTTAAAACAAGAACATACAATTGCCGGGGGTTGTTACCATCTCACTGATGTGAAGGTTTGTCATACAGGTAAACTTGTGCCCTGGGGTTTGGTGTACAGATTACTTCATCATCCAGGTATTAAGCTTAGTACCCAACAATTATTTTTTTTTGCTCCTCTCCTTCCTCTCACCTTCCACCCTCAAGTAAATCCCAGTATATGTTGTTCTCTTCTTTGTAGACAAGTGTTTTTTAATTTCCACAAAAATTTCCATGACTCTCCTAATGACTGAAACCTCTGTTGCTCCCAGAAGACAGGATTTAATTCATTCATCTGTTTAAAGTAGTGTCTACTATGTCTTAGGCACTGGGAATGCAGCAATGAGCAAAACAGGTTCTCCTTGTCTCATAGGGTGTATATGTCACTGGCGGACAGGCTAAACCAAACAAGTAAATAAATAAACCATAGAGTATGTCAAATAGTGGTTAAGAGCAAACAGAAAGACAAGGCAGATAACAGGGATGGGGGTACAATGATGGCAGGAGGATGAGTCCATTTTAAATAGTGTAATCCGGCTGGGTGTGGTGGTGCGTACCTGTAATCTCAGCACTTTGTGAGGCTGAGGTGGGCGGATTGCTTGAGCCTGTGAGTTTGAGACCAGCCTGGGTGACAGAGCGAGACCCTGCCATATACATATATAGGTACACACACACATACATGGTGTGATCAAAGAAGGACACACTTTAGGGTTCTCATATAATTTATTGCCCAAACCAGGACACTTAGGAGGCTGGGAATGGGTGTGCTAAACACATGGAACACTGGGTCAGTAAGCACAATATGGGGCATGTTGTTATTCTCCTTCACTTAGAAGGTCATATTTGAGCAAAAACCCCATATCCGGGTCAGGCGCAGTGGCTCACACCTGTAATCCCAGCACTTTGGGAGGCTGAGGCAAGCAGATTACCTGAGGTCGAGTTTGAGACCAGCCTGGCCAACATGATAAAAACCCCGTCTCTACTTAAAAATATATAAAAATTTGCAGACAGTGGTAGCGGGTGCTTGTAATCCCAGCTACTCGGGAGGCTGAGGCAGGAGAATCACTTGAACCCAGGAGGCAGAGGCTGCAGAAAGCTGAGCTCGTGCCACCGCACTCCAACTGGTGACAAGAGCAAAACTTGGTCTCCAAAAAACAAACAACAAAAACTTATCCACCGACAGCTGTAAAACTATATACAAAGATGAAAAAAATTAGGCAAAACTAGCTGCCTCTTCACCAAATACTAATAATGAGGACAAGAAAAAAGAATATGAGAGATAAGGTTTAATACCCATTGCCTTATGTTTATGGATGAGCTGGTGTTACTAATACTCAAAACAGAAATGAAAAGGGAGAGTTCACCACAGTCTTTCTGTTACGATATCTGTTGAGAGAACCAGAAGGAGGCATGTTTCCCACAGGAGGATACTTAAAGGCCAATTCACTCCTCTCAGGGAGCTATTTTTAAGAATGTGGATTAATATTGATCTGCAAACTGCAGCTTCTTTCTAGTGGGCCTCACTTTTAACCCATGCCTGTGTCTCCGGTTCATGAAGAATTGGAAATATGGTCATAACCCCAATTCACTCCCTTCCAGCCATTCTCCCCAGCAAGAGCGTTTGCTCTACGTATACAATCAACTTGGAATTTTCTTCTCCCAAGTAGCCATTTGACTAACTCCAGTATTTCCTTCAGGTCTTCAACAAAATGCACCCTATATAAAATGTATTCATTCATTAAAGTAATAACTATTGTGTCAACTATTTGTCAAGAAGGAAAACAACAGACATTATCTCTGTTAACTTTACAGTCTGATAGAAGACAGAAATCCAAACAAGTAAAATATATAATGATAAATCACTACACAAGACCAGAAGAAAATGGATATAGGAGGGAACATGAGAGAAAACCTGGCTTAGACTGAGGGGAATGGGAGCACTGGAGCGAGATTCCCACGGTAATATTTGCATTTTAATAAAACTACCATGCATTCTACTCAGAGATATGTATGTTTATTTGTACACTAGTCATTTATTCATTCAACAAATATTTAACAAGCACCTATTATGTGCCAAACCCAGTATACCTGGCATATAGCAGCGAGTAAAAGATGAAGACTCCTACTTCCTCATGGAGCTCATTTAAGCTGAGACCTAAAAGGAGTTGGCTAGTAGAAGAATGCAGAGATCATGATTCTAGGAGGTAGGTGTTGGCTATTAAGAGAATGCAGAGATCATGATTCCAGGAAGGTGCAACAGAAGGTGTAAAGGCCTGAAAGGAAGAGTTTGGGGTGTTCCAGGCACTGAAAAGCCAAAATAATTGTGCTATTAATGAGCAACAGGACAATGGCCCAAAGCTGAGAGAAATAAAAAAAGAGAACAGATCAGGATTTAACAACCAAATCTGACACTCTTTAGTTCTCCCCGGCCATTCAAAAAGATAAAATAAAAAAATGTAAAAACCAATATAATCAAATAATTTCCCAAACAGGGCTTTCTGCACTTGATAGCCTTATAACCTAAAAGAGCACTGTCAACATTTACATTTAATTCAACATTTTGACTCAAAACGGTCTTTAAACCTAGAAAATCATGATGTAGTTGAACCCATGTTAAATCAAAGTCCTTTTGAATACTTGAAAATGTAATCTTCCTTGAATGGGACCTTAGGTGGATTCTTTACACTAAATTCAACCGCACAATGAGCTTGGTTCAAAAAACACCCCAGAATGCTTTAAGGATACCTTAAAGGTTTCAGTTCAAGGTATACAAATATAGTCCACTCTATTATTTTTAGCATGTCCTGGTATTTTACGTGTCTTCTTAAATTGGGACACTGCTGTGCTTTTTGAGGTGAATGCAACTGATAAAATCAAATGTGTGGTTTAGAATGTCTAACTGCAGAGAGACATTTGTATATTCTTTGGATTTGAGCTTTTTACTTGTCTTTATCTACAAGTCCTAACTTTTATACTTGAATATAACCAATTCAGACAATTCCTATACACCAAGATCTTTGTCCTTATCACACAGATCAAAATTAACAAGCACAAAAACAAGGTTTCCTGCCTTCCTGTCCTGGTACAATAGTAACATGAGGAGAGAGAAAAGTAGTTTACTAAGATAGCTACACACTGGGCAAACACAGTGGAAACAGTGTGTGCAGCACCAAGAAGGGACAGGATGACAGCTCCTAGGTTTTGTGAGAACCTCCTCTGAATAACTCAAAGGTAAAACCATTCATCTGAGGAGATGGCTTGCTGCAGCCCTACACATGAAACTGATTCTGACCCTTGACACTGTCTCTACCTTTTCCTATCTTTTACACGTGTGAGCGCTGTTCTCTCTCACCCAACCCTAACTCTATCATAATGCATATTTCAGTTTAAAATACTTCTACTCATTTGCTGTGACAGCCAGCAAACTTAATTGGAAAACAACTTGTTTCCATCAATTGCTTTGGGGTGAGCAAAAACACTACAATCTCTCTTTTCTTCCAAAGTTCACAGTTTTAAAGTCACACCGAATAAAAAGAAAACCAGTAGCTGATAATTTAATATCCCATTGGTACTGAATGTGTAGATCTTGAATCTAGCTTAGGCTTTGTGAAGGAAAGCAGACAGCCTTATTGTTAATGATCAGTGCTAACAGAATGTTATCACACAATGGAGGTGGCATTATGCAAATGAACCCCAGCAAATCTAGGAAAAGACCAAAATTTTCAGCAAGTATAGAACTATTTGGCTCTGAACGCTATTCATCACACTCGCTTATGCCATACATTTCTGATGCTGAGAAACTAAAATTGTAAAAAGTTCCCATTCCCGAAGCCCTTTAAAATCCAAGACTGTGAATTTTACTCAGCAAAATATTTACTCTGAATATCTAATTACATACTCAAGTGAACAAAGTGAATACTAAAATAGTTCTAATATCACATGTTTTATAAATGTTTAAAAGCCTAGGAAAGAATCAAAGATGACAAGAACAACTAGATAAATAAAAACCTCTTCAATGGTAAAACTGTAGTTTGGTGCTAACACACCAAAATCCCAGTGGTACTAAAATTCTTACCCTAAAAACTAAAATGAATCAGTCTCTACCCCTACTTATAAAATTGCAGCCTTTTACAACAGCACAGGTTCCTCCTTTTAAAAAATCTTTCCTAAGTGGAGTAACATATTTAAATATATTTGAAATAACAATGAATATTTTTATTATATTCTTAAGAACTTTATCTCCTAACTTAAATATTCTTTACTACTGTAAGCAAAACAGCTGAATTTATTTGCTTTTAGTCATGCACACATTATATAGCATTTTTGACTTTTAAATGTTTCCCAAATACAGTCTTGAATATTACCGTGAAAATACTATATTTTATATTCACATTTTTATAGGAATAAAAACCCTAACATTAAAAAAGAAAATTGTTTATGCATGGAATCCCTAAGTCCACCTTACAAAAATATGGAGTTTCAAACTGAATATGCAATCTTTACAGTGGGTAAAAGAAACCAATTTTTAAAATAAGAAAATCCTACAGTCTCTCTTTTATTTCCTAAAATTTAAGTTAAAATTCCTCTTTATTTCCTAAAACTTCCATATTACAGAATAAATACATGTCTTAATTAAAAGAAAAAATAAAACTTTTAAGAGACACAGAATAGAGCATTAAAGGATAGTTTAACTCAAAATGCTTTTCCCTAAAAAAGATTTTCATTTACTATTTGAAAAGCTATCTAACTGGTTTTATGTAATAGCTGTAAACCCATACCAAATCAATTTCCATTTTCCCTCAAATTTTAACTGTAAATCTATTGAAATAAATTCTGAAAAACATTTATCCACCTTTTTGGTACAAAAGCATGAATTTAATAAAACTAAACATATTTTTAAGTTATTTATACCTTTAGCCCAACACACTGGAAATGGACTACAGCCGCTTTTCTCCATATAGATGGCACCTGCTGGTTTCAGGGCCTCTTGGCCTGCCAGTTCCAACAACATACACCCAATGCTATAAAGATCAAGCCAGGAGTCCGCACACAAAGTCCCAGTTCCTCGCTGTGATAGTATTTGCTTCGATCCACAAGCAAGACTAAGGTTCCCCTGTGGGCTCCTTTTTTCAGAGTTTGAAGCAAAATTTGGGAGGTGTTCCTTCTGTAATATTTTCCAGCAGCTTGAAGGATGCCTCTCAGTTACAGAATCTTCTCATGCTTCCGCAATCTGAAACACAGACCATCCTGGCTAGATTAAGCTACAGAACAGAATGAAACCAGCTAGTAATGTGACCCCATGGGTCTGTGTTCCTAAATTCATTCAGGGACGGAGAAAGAGGGAGGGAAAAGAGAGAGGAGAAAAAGAAGGCCAGTAGCCAGTAACTTATTAATATGCTAATCTCACCCTTCTGTTCAATTCATCCGGCAGTCTTCTGTTTACAAAACTGACAACCAATTCTAAAATTGAGTAAGCTGAAAATCAAGTCTGACCCAGATCATGTCTGTACATGGCTTCTCAAACCATTTTTGTTTTCAAAGTCATTTTACTAACCTAATTCTGACCTTAGAGTTAAAATAGTTACTTGGATGAAATAAAAATCCTTTCTGGGGGAAAAAAAAAATCCTGATTGATCTATGTCTCTGTGTCTCTAGGTACCCAAATATTTTTGTAGTAAAATATTTTTCCTGGTTGTCACTTTCATAGTAAGAGTATAAATTTTAAAAAATATCTCAAAACATAAAATCAAGAATTTGAGGTAGCCACACTCTTTAAAATTAGCTTAGGGAATATTTAGGAATCCAAGATACATGATTTCCTTTCTTAGTTTCAAAACACAGCAAGTAATAAACTCATACTAAAGAAGTAAGACAAAAAAACACCCTTACAATCTGATACTAGTAACTTTTTAAAATGCAAAGCTACTTAGTTTTTCCATTCAAACTGTGAGACAGTCAAGGCCATCTCAAAAATTTGGCCATCTGAACACATTCCACTTCAGCAGTAAGATAATTAGTAACTATGCTCCTGGTGCCTTTGTTCTCCAAACATACATAAGACAAACTGAGGCTCTATACAGTTCTAGCTTTCCTGAATGTGGGTAATTCTGTTAGTAATACACTTGTATAAACCAATCAAAAATCAAGTATTTTACTTAACAGTGAAAATAGCCTAGGCATTGTTTATGAAGTCACTAACTTCTGAAAACAATAGCTTAATAAGGGCTGAGAAGAACAAGAGGCTTATTTGTGCCCAGTGATGCCCCAAAAAAGTTGTTTCATTTCTAACATGCTACTCTTGATGATGGCTTTGTCTCTAGATTGACTTTCGGGTTCCTAACAGAAGCCAGAGTTCAAGCGACCTCTTCTATGCTCCACTGAAAACACATCATTCACCAGCGTGAACTCTGACCCCAGGGAATACTGGGAAAAAAAGGCTCCAGTAAGACACAAGCAAGCTAGTGAGGAAAAGAACAGAGGAAACAAGCAACAGATCAACTAGAAAACACAAAAAATATCCCCAGCCTCCACCATTACAAAGAGACCAAGACTGTAAAGGGCGACTGCAATGATGGGAAGGATAAGAGCACATCCACCAGCAAGCATATCTGACATACTCCTGTGAGAATAGACTAGAGTTTAATCTGAGCCACTGACTAACAGATTGTACAAATACTCCAAGCAAATTGAGTCCATCTTGGAACTTACAAATCTCAAAAGCTAAAAAAAAAAAAAAAAAAAAAGCTACCGTCATTAATTACCCACAATTATATTCTACACACTAAGTACTGATTATATGTAATTTTCACATCTTTTAAGCAAACTTGGTATTATGTTTCTTTTAAAAATGAGAGCACTAACTAAAGACAGGGTCATATGACTCAGAAGAGGCAAAGGAGTTACTAAGCCCACTTGCTCATCTAAGATGCCAGGGTCTTCACCCCACCCCAGGAAGGATTTTTGAGTCAGACTGAACAGCTGCCACAGGACCAACTGAGCAGGAGTTAGAGTGGTATAAGCATAGGGTGGTGGTATCTGGAGCTAATGCAGTAGCGGAACAGAGAGGAGAGGACAAACAAGAAAAGGGAATGTAGAAAATGAGGGATAGGGATGAACCCAGTCTCTATGACTTTAAAGTGACCAGTAGATGGGGCTTTCTCTACTAACCCTGCAACTACTTCATAATTTATTTCAACATCCAAATATCATCTCCTAATGTACAAGATCTTGAGAGTACGGGAAGATAAGATACGAAAGAGCATAAATTCTACAGGCCAGAGACCAAGGTGACTTAAGCAGAGACCAGACTGAAGGAGCACTTATGGAAATGTTAAGATCCAACTCACACCACTGAGAAAAGCTGAAGAGAATACAAGTGATATTGTGAACAATAACCTATACCCTTTATTGAGCAACTATAGTTATATATAAAATAACTGCATTTAATCCATAACACAATCTCAGTGAAGCAGCTATTTCCCTGTTTTCATAGAAGAGGAAAACGAAGTTCAGAAAAGTCAAGCAACTTGTCCAAGGTCAAAGAGCTGCAAGACGAGGCAAGTACTAGCTAGTCTGGCGATACAGCGATTATAATTTTATTCCTGCTAAATATTAAAGACAAATTATTCTTTCAAATTCCTAATCCAGGGACATCTTGAAAAGAACAGAAATAGACTACAGTTAATGGCAACATAAGTGAAAAGAGTAAGTAGTCCTCTATGTTCTCTTACTTTTGAATTCTAAAGCCACCCATTTATTTAAAAGTTCTCTGATCTTTACATCAAACTCTTTTAGTATTGGCATATTTTAAAGGAATTCTGGTAAATCCTACTTGAAAAGTAAACTCCTACCCTTTACCTTTAAGATATAGCCAGAACATACGTATTTCTTACCACATCTCCTGCCCTCACCCCAGCCCAGGCTGCCCGGATTACAGCCACAGGCCTCCTACCTGGTTTCTCTGCTCCAGCTCTGGCTACCTTACACTCTATTCAGAACCCTTCTGAATTGTGCACTGATCCTTCCAAAACATCAATCACACAATTTTACTCCTCTGCCTAAAACTCACCAACAGTCCTCCAACTTTTCCAGAATCAGCACCTACATACTTAGCACAGTCTGCAAGGCCGTGTATGATATGGCTCCCCTCTCTTGGCCTCATCACCAAGGATTCCCTAGTTTCCTTGGCACCAACCACACTGACCTCCTTGCCACTCCCTGCCCTCCTCAGCACTGCTTGTCCTTCTATGTGGGACACTCTTGCCCCGCATTATCCACATGGCTTGCTCCCTTTCCCCTGCCACATCTTTGTTCAAATGTTGCCTACTCGACAAGGCCTATCCAGACCACCCCATCTGAAACTGGATGGCCCATCTGCTCTCCCTGCTTCACTTTATTCCCAAAGCACTTACGCCTTCTAAAACACCTCATGATTTACTTAAACATTCAAATTATTGCCTGGCTGCCCCCACTACCATGCAAGCTCCATGACAGAAGGAAATTCTGTCTGTTCTGTACATACCGTCTCCAGGGCGTTCCTAAAACGGTAAGATGGGTAGGCCACATCCCACCCACCCTCCTATTACCTCTAAGTAATGAAAAGATGGCAAAGAGAATTTCTGTTTTCTTTTCAAGCCCATGGCCACAGAGAAGGTATATGTATGTGCTGGATATAAGTGACAGTATAGCTTGCCTCCATCCTGGGCACTGCTTCACTTCCAGATCTCAGTACAGCACGAAGGCTTAGTACATATTTATTGAATAAATAACTGAATTAAACATTATGAAAACCTTGCTTTCTCAAGAATATGAGAAAATAAAAACTGACATAAAGTCTACGAACATCATGTGAACTGTCTCTCCTCACTCACCCCACATAAAAAATAAATCACATGATTGTAGTACTCTGATACTCTTATTGAAATTTTCACCACAAATTTTAACAAAGTACAAATGAAAATAGCGTGTGGGATTAGATAAAACCATTAGGGTTGCAAACAATGTTATAACAAGATCAGTAAGCATCAAAGGGAACTCCAAACCCCTTCACACGATGGACAGTTTTGTCCAATCTGGCCTGGTCATGTATGAGAAGGCCCCTGGAATTGAACTATTAGGAGATGAAATGTCACCAAAATCAGTTCAAAGAAACACCAGCCTGACTTTCACATTTCTCATCTAATTGTCATAATCTTGTCTCTCTTAAGGAATACCAAACATCAAGGCTGCACTTCTTGGCAAAGTAAAGCACTAATAAATGCTTTCATGCCAGTGGACAGGAGTAATGTAAAAAAAATTATTATTATTCACATTATAGAACATGTATATTTCTAAATATATCATCCTTCACCTCTGTTATGCTTGCATTAATCAGTTACAGATTTAAATAACTTCGACACTTTTACAATATGGTTCCTCCAATTAGCACTTGATAATTACAATATATCCTAACTTTAGAATGTCAGGTATCTTATACTGAGCTTATTTCCAGTAAGATTACTAATTACTATTTCTGTCATTGTCTTGCTGTTTCCACCACAAAAACAAATTTTCAGAAATTTTAGTCTATCAACAAAAATTATGACTTCATTAAGATTAAAGAAATATTAGTCATAATAAACCTAATCACCTTCTGAAGACAGAAAACAGGAAATACAAACAAATTTCAAAAGGTGATGGTATTGGCATTATTCACTTTCTTTGCAAAGTTTCTTAACAATTACTATACCTCCCTTCCGTTATTCTTGAGGAACTCTGGGGAAACTGCGGAAGGCACTGAATATGTAACTAGAAGATCCAAAGGAGCCCCAGTTCTGCCTGTGAGACAAAGAAAATCATTTCAACATCCTGAACTTCAGTTTCTTCATCTGTAAAATGAGGACAATAACAATACCTAGCACTTATTGAGTACTATGTGCCAGTCACAAAATAGCATAATAGCAACACTAATAATAATGGAAATATGATTATTTTGACATGATGATACCAGGTTAATGCTAACTCTGTGCCAAGCCTTCTTCCAAGTACTTTAAAAATGTTGACTCATCTACTTATTTTTTTTTTTTTTTTTTTTTTTGGAGGGAAGGAGGAAGGGAGGAAGGCAGTAAGGGAGGGAAGAAGGAAGAAAGGGAGGAAGGAAGGGAGGAAGGAAGGAAGGAAGGAAGGGAGGAAGGGAGGAAGGGGGGGAGGGAGGGAGGGAGGGAGGGAGGGAGGGGAAGGAAGGAAGGGAGGAAGGGAGGAAGGGGGGGGAGGGAGGGAGGGAGGGAGGGAGGGGAAGGAAGGAATTCAAGCAATGAGAGAGACATTGCCGACCTGGATCTAGAGGTTTACAAGTTAATTTCTTCTTTTGAGAGAAGGAAAGAAAAAAAAAAATGAGTAAAGGAGAGAAAGAAAGAGGAAGAGAGAGAGGGAGGGTGAACGAAAATATTGCTTTATTCTGAAAAAAAAAAATGGGTATTAATAATGGCCAATCAATGTTTCATTTAAACCTATGAGTAGGTGTGATGTGGTATTGACAAGAATGTATATTTTATGTATTTGAAGTGGAGGGCTCTATAAATATTTATTAAGTTTACTTGTTCCGGATCTGAGTTCAAGTCCTTGATATCCTTATTAATTTTCTGGCTCATTGAATCTAAGTCTCTATGTATCTGGGTGTTAGGATCGTTAGCTCTTGTTGTTGTATTGATCCTTTTACCACTATATCTTTGTTGCTTTAAAATCTATTTTATCCGCTATGAGATTTGCAACTCCTGCTTTTTATTTATTTATTGATTTTTGCTCTCCATTTGGTTGGTAAATCTTTCTCCATTCCTTTGTTTTGAGTCTTTGTGTATCCTTGCATGTGAAACAGGTCTGGATGTAAGATGCCGTTGGGTTTTGGCTGTGTCTTTTGATTGGGGGATTTAGTCAATTTAAATTTAGGGTTACTGCCATTTGATGTTAACTGGCTGTTTGATCCATTCGTTGATGAAAATTCTTCTTTGTGTTGGTGCTCTTTACTTTTTGGTATATTTTTAGTAAGGCTAATACTGGTTGTTTCTTTCTGTGTGTAATGCCTCTTTCAGAAGCTCTTGTAAAGCAGGCCTGGTGGTAATAAAATCTCTGAGTACTTGCTTGTTCATAAAATATTTTATTTTTCCTTCAGTTGTGAAGCTTAGTTTGGCTGGATATGAAATTCTGGGCTGAAGGTTCCGTTCTTTGAGGATGTTGAATATTGGCCCCCACTCTCTTCTGGCTTATAGAGTTTCTGCTGAGAGATCTGCTGTAAGTCTGATAGGCCTGCCTTTGTGGGTAACCTGACCTTTCTCTCTGGCTGCCCTTAGTATTTTCTCCTTTGTTTCAACCCTGGTGAATCTAACGATTATGTGCCTTGGGGTTGCTCTTCTTGAGGAATATCTTTGTGGTGTTCTCTGTATTACCTGGGGTTGAATATTGACCTGCTTTGCTAGTTCAGGAAAATTTTCCTGAATAATATCCTGAAGGGTATTTTCCAGCTTGGATTCATTCTCTCCGTCTCATTCAGGTACACCTATCAAATGTAAATTTGGTCTTTTCACATAGTCCCACATTTCTTGGAGACTTTGCTCATTCCTTTTTATCCTTTTATCTCTAATCTTGTCTTCTTGTTTTCTTTCATTAAGTTGGACTTTGACCTCTGTTATCCTTTCTTCTGCTTAAACAATTCAAGTGTTTAAACCTGTGCATACTTCTCGGAGTTCCTGTATTGTATTCTTCAGTTCCATTAATTCACTTATATTCCTCTCTAAATTGTCTATTCTCAATAGGATTTCGTCAAACCCTTTTTCAAAGTTCCTAGTTTCTTTACATTGGGCTACAATATGTTCTTTTAACTCACAGAAGTTTCTTATTATCCATTCCCTGAAGAGTGATTCTGTCATTGGGATGCGCTCTTTCTCCGTCAAGCCTTGTTCCATTGTTGATGTGGAACTGTGATCATCTTTAGAGGGAGAGGCGTTCTGATTTTGAGTATTCTCAGCCTTTTTACACTGGTTTCTTCCCATCATTGTCAATTTATCCTCCTGTCGTCTTTGAAATTACCAACTTTCAAATTAGGTCTCTTGATTGGATGTCCAAGTTGTTAGTTCCCAGGGCCAGAACGGCGGAGTTAAGACTGATGGTGCTTTTCTGCCCAGGATTCTCCTGTCTGGCTTCCTTCTTGTGTCCGTAATGAGCAACTCTGCCTTCCCCAGGCTCCAAACCTTGGTCAGAAGGGGAACCAGTCTTGTTTACTCTGCACCAAGAGCTGCTGCGTTGAGGTGCCGTCAAAGCCACTGCACCGGTCTCAGGAGTCCTGCTGGGGACCCATGTGGGTCCTCCAAACCTCGGTCAGAAGGGGAGCCGGCCCTGTTTACTCTGCTCCGAGAGCTGACTCGCTGAGGTGCTGGCGAAGCCGCTGCTCCGGCCACAAGAGTCGCGCTGGCGACCCGTGTGGTTCCTCCACTGGGGATCTTCTGCTCCGTGAGCGACCAGAATTTGTCTGAAAGTGTGGCGTCCTCTAGTTCTCTGCGCTTTGACTGAGAGCTGCAATCCCGAGCTGTTATCGATCGGCCATCTTGGATCCTCCTCCGACTCATCTACTTATCTTAACAAACTACCCATGGGGTAGATACTGTTATCCTCATTTTACAATTGAAGAAATCGAAGCACAGAGAGGCTAGGTAGCTTAAAGTCACAATGTCACATAGCTTTTCAGTTGCAAAGCTGGAAATCTAACTCATGCAGTCCGGCTAAAGTCCATGTACTTCACCAATTTGCTGCAGTGCTTTACACCTATTTTCTCAATTAATACTTTTAACAACCAACAACATAGATGATATTACAATCCATGTATAACACATGAACAAATAGAGGAACAGAGAAATTAAGTAACATACCTGATATCACAACTAATTGGTCAGTTGCACAGCTGGGATATGCATCAGGCATTTGGACACCAGCCAGATCACACAGTTAAACCACCACCTATTGTATCACCTATCTCCAGATACTACAAAGGTTTCCAGAATCTGGAAAGAATCTGGAAACAGGCCTACAAAGGGTAAGAATCACAGTGAGGACCAATGGGACAAAGAAAGCACGAGAAGAAACACAGCAAAGACTATGGGACAGATAAACTGCTCTTATCCCCATAAACACCCTAATTCACCAAATTGTGAAACTCATGCAATAGTCCTCTGGTGTCAGCAAACCTGCCCAATACAAATTCAGATAAAAGCCATCACACTACATGTCATACATGTAGCTGGTACTTGACAGGTATCAAAATCACCTGAAAATAAATATAACCACTGAATTAAGCAACACTAAAATATATAAATAGATGGGAAAATGCAACTCTTATCATGAAAATCTTATTTACTATTTCTGCCAATTGGGTAAGACAATAATTATCTTTTACAATGTGTATTCTCAAGTAACTCTAAAATTAATGGGATAATAACTATTTCCTTTCATTATCTAAAAAGGCAAAGACAATAAAACCCTGACCTTATTAATCTAAGCAGTATTTTCATAAACTCTAATTAATGACAATTTCTTATATCTGTTTTGCCATATAGACAGAGATCAAAGCTAAAAATCAGATTTAGAAACTGTTAAGGGGTTATCTGCTGTAATTGCTTTTTTCTTAAAGGCTCCTGAAATCTTTAAGAAGATGTTGCATTAGGTTTTCAGTTGCAGTGGTAGAAGCATAATGACACAGGACAGGATAAGAAGCTCACCAAAATTTTCAATCTATCCATCTATGTTATAAAACAGGGGGCTATTTTTTGCTTATACTGACTATAATAATGCAAATATCAGGCCAGGCGCGGTGGCTCAAGCCTGTAATCCCAGCACTTTGGGAGGCCGAGGCGGGTGGATCACGAGGTAACAGACTGAGACCATCTGGTCAACATGGTGAAACCCCGTCTCTACTAAAGATACAAAAAATTAGCTGGGCCTGGTGGCGCGTGCCTGTAATCCCAGCTACTCAGGAGGCTGAGGCAGGAGAATTGCCTGAACCCAGGAGGCGGAGGTTGCGGTGAGCCGAGATTGCGCCATTGTACTCCAGCCTGGGTAACAAGAGCGAAACTTCGTTTCAAAAAAAATAAATAAATAATAATAATAATAATAATAATGCAAATATCAAAAGGCAATCCAGTAGTTACTTAAAGTTAACATATCCCAAAACAAATATAAAACTTTTATTTTACGGAAAATGCATATATACTTATGCAACGTATTTCATCACCGTGAACTTTTTTTACCCTAAAAAAAAAGTTTTTATCCACAGTTTGACTGCTCACCTTATTTAACAAATAGCAACAGTATTAAACAATTGTGTCTTTCCAAATTAGGTTAACTTTCCAAGCTAACTGAAGCAGAGAAAACCACTGATAAGGATGTAAAGGCTCTCAGTCACTTGTCAGAAATTGGGCTTTGCAGTCCCAGACATATTAACACTAGTCTAGGGGTCTGACGGTGTCAGGAGGACCCCTTGTGGTGAATGTGAATCCATCTACAACCTGCATTTCTCAGCTAAACGTGAAAAATCAACAATATACAATTTAAATTAATCCCTCATGGTGGCCAGAAAAAGTTAATCATTACTACAGTTAGACTCATACTTTGTTTTCAAAAAATATCAGGCTGGGAATGGTGGCTCAGACCTGTAACCCTAGCACTTTGGGAGGCCAAGGCAGGTGGATGACCTGAGATCATGAGTTCAAGAGCAGCCTGACCAACATGGTGAAAACCCATCTCTACTAAATAAAAAAAATTAGCCGGGCATGGTGCCGCATGCTTGATCCCAG